TGAACAATTTCTGTATTAATGGTCACTTTTTGTTCCAAATTAGTCACTTTTTGTCCCAAGTTCTCAAGTTTGGTATTCATAGCGTCCGTCTTCTTGTGGAGCTGTTCCAACGAATAACTTATCTTACATAATACAGTCACTAAGGTTCCTTCTGTCAACATTCTTAAAGTCCAAGGTCAATCTCTATTTCACACAGTTCTTATCTTGCGACTGGAAAAACCCCAGCTCCACTCTTGTAACAGTTTCAAAAGCTCCCTCTAGAGGGAAACAGTCTCCACATGTATCAATCCTTTCAAACACAGTTTAAACTATAAAGATAGTTTCTTTTCCCACTTTTGAAACGCAGATGAGTACAATGGAAACAATATATTTCTCTTATTGCTAGCTGTCAAAAAACGTCACTCTTTCTGGCAGCCCGTTTCCAGGTTCGGAGCAGTGGTAATTTGGTTTTTCACTCTCTCCTGCAGGCTCACTAGGTCCAAAATTTCCCCCCTCTTCTCCTGCTTCCAAGGGGGGTTTAATAGTTTTGACCGATGGAGATTTAATCCTTTACAAAAATAAACTTTCCAAGGCTTTAACTTGCAACTTCTTTGCTTCAATCTGTTTACAAAAAAGGAAGGCGGACTTCCTGTTTAGAACCTTCCCGTTTCGATGCCAAATTAATGAATTTAAGAATCTAATTTTCCGTTCTACTCACGGGTAGTTGTTTAGAATCCAATTGTCCACAGGAAAAAGTCAGCGCTCTCCAGCAACAGCGATGCGGCTTCACTCCGTGAAAGAAGCAGTCAAATCGAAGCACCGCGCCACTCACCCCACTTCGCTCCAGATCCCCAAATCAGGGTTTCCCTGTGAGTAGGCGAGGCGCAAAGGGTGCCAGCCGAATCCCAAGTTCACAGGCTTCTCCCGCCTGTGATTTCAGTGGGTCTCCGCCTTCGCCGTGGCGGTCAGACCCTAATTTCCGTGGAGCAAATTCCTCCCGATCGGAGGAACTCCGCCATTGCCTGGAGGCGCCAACCCGGAAGTCCCAGCTTGTGTTCTGTCTCAGTCTGTTTAGCTCCCTCTCCCTTTACTATGGGGAATTTTATCAAAGGCCTGTAATTTTTTTCTTTTGACAGAAGTGGATGAAATTTACAGGCATGCAAGCCTGTCCAGAGAATCTGGAGGGTGAATCTGCCCATTTCAGTTTCTCTCAGTTTTTAATTTTAACGGTCTTATGTTCACTTCTCCACATATTATTATGCATTAAAAAATAAAAATAAAAATAAAAATCCTCTCCAAAGTTCACCAGCATTTTAGCGCAGATGTTTCATAATATGCACTATTTTCGGCAAGCAATTTCCCCCGAATACAATACATTTTTAATTATTTCACCATTTCTTCATTTTCTGATATTTTGTCTCAGGACCAAACTAGGCACATCTCTGTGAAGCATATCAGGAGTGTCGTTATTTCTTTATTTTCATGAAAAGCAGAAGGAGCACTTTTTGTCTGGATCATGGTATGTGGGGAGGGGAGGTTGAATTCTTTCTTCCCCAGTCACAATCCCAATGAAAATGGTCCAACTTGGATTGGTGGGGGACAGGGGTGCAAAATATTTTGGGGGGGCAAATAAGTCCCACCCCACATAATTGATCAGAAGACATGGGGCATGCACACCATTTGAATCACAGTGCCCATCAACTGGGGCGGGGCTGGCCCTCAAATATTTTATTGGAGCAGCCGAAGGGAACTCGGGCCCTAGGAGTTGGCTCTTATGGCAGGGGGCTAATAGAAGCATAGCATAATTTTCTCATCATCATATACCTGAGGAGGGAAGGGATGAACTGCCTCTCCTCATCTTCTGTGGTCTTGATGAAAATCCCCACTCATCTGCTATTATGATTTCTTTCCTCAGCAAAAACAATTTTAGCATCACTTTTTCATAATGTACACCACATACCACCTTTTTCCTTTAAAAAAGCTGTTCTTTTTTATCCCTTCTGCTACATAAGATCATAAATAATGACACAAGGGGAGGGTTACTATAGACTTTTATTTGAGACCACTGGTAAGCTGACATGAACATATCAGGTTTTCTTCTCTATCTTCTCCAAGATTACCTTGATTGAGGAATTAATCAATAACCCCATACATCATGCTGCAAGGCCCGGTCATCATCAAACAAATCAAGATTTTTATTTTATTTTTTTAAAAACCCATCCATAAAACATGCAACCCTGACATAGCAGACACATAAAAGCAGCTATTCCAAATGAGATGTGAGAGTTCTGGGGCATTCTGAGATCTGCTGTCTCTTGAAACATAACCTATCTACAAGGACAGTTGAGATGTGCAACATCAGTCTTTTCTCCTTTAGATTGACAGTAAAGAATATTAGCCAAGAGACCTTAACCTTCCTACTCAGATATCAGGACCCATTACTAAACACATTACTCTAATTTGCCAGTTGACCTCAAGAGTTGGGAATAATCAAAGCACACGCTAAATTCAGATGAAGGCATTCCTTAAAACAAGCTAATTTATATCTGTTCTGGACACAACTTTACTTGCTGCCCCCTTGTGCCCCCTAATGGTTAAACAACAAGGTTTTCTATGCCACCAATTCACTGTGTTTTAATTCAGAAGCTGCTTTGTCAACCTTGTCTGCCTCTATTGAGTTTACTTGTGAGATTGTAATTTTAATCGATGTAAGTCACCTTAAGTTATGTGTATGCACCAGAAAGGCAGGACAAACCTCTTCAAAGAAAGAATTAGGAGGAGAAAACACATCCACGAGGTAAGTTCTCACACTCACTCACAAAAATCACCCTTTACCCTCTGAAACATGATCAAAGCCCCCCTCCTTTCATCACATGCCAACAAAATTGGAGAAGTCTCAGTTGAGCCCTAGATTCCTGATTCCTAATTTTCTATCTATAGGACAGAAGTACCCACCATTAGTCTAAATGACATATAAAACAATCTGTTCAGTCTTCCAGGTTCACCTGGAATTTCTATATATATATCAGTTCTGAGGATGTGTGTTTCTTTTTTTAAAAAATTGCAGCCTCCATTTTGACACATATTGTGGGCTGAAACAAGAATGCCTTTTTTTCTTTGCCACTGAACCAAGACCACTACTCCATTGTTTTTCCTTTTTTACACAAATTGAGTCGAAATTTCTCAGAAAACATTCTTCCTGAGAGTATTCTTGAGATTCTTGCTTTTCTCATCTCCCCCCCTCCCCCATGCATAGAGAAGTATTCTCACCATGGACATTATTTATACTTACTGTGGGAATGGTAGGGCACAAGGGACAGTATGACTCTCAGGGCTAAACAAATTTTGAACTAGGCCAGTCTTCCCTAACATAGCACCCTCTGGGCATTGTCTGACTCCCAGCATGTGTTATAAACATGCAACACCAGATGGTGCTGGAGAGCAAAGAATTTTCCTATGCAGTTTTACATAGTGTTTTTTCTTTTGTATTATTGTATTATTGTATTATTTATATGATGTTAGCCGCTCTGAGGGCAGGGTACAAATAACAATTATTATTATTATTATTATTATTATTATTATTATTATTATTTGTTATAACAATTTAATTTCTGATTTATTTATAGCGCTTCCCCCCCGTCTGTAGATCCACCCATATATATATATATATATATATATATATATATATATATATATGCATACATAGAGCCATACACACACCCAGTGTCAAGTAACCTGTCCTGAATAAATGCATCACAATGTGTTACAAGTATAACTCATATTCCCCCACCCCAAATGATGCTGGAAACCTCCCACCCTTGCTGCATAAGATTTGCTCACTAAGGCACAAGGCTGGTTCATGCCACTGACAAGATATTCAGTTGATTTTGATTCATCAAGGAGCTTACTTCTTTGTGCAGTTACATTATCAGGGATTCACTGTCACAGATTGTTCATATCACATCCCAGACAGCCTTGCCTTGTTAGGCGATAAGCTAATGTGACAACAGGGGATGATCTATGATAGCAAATCTGCAGTAGCTCCTTCATGCAAACAAGTGATGTAGTGATAGCACAAGATTTTCCATGTAGAAAACCATGTGCTACTCAATATGTGAATAAACAGACAGTGATAGCAGAAGCTTTGTTTATGCTTTGGGGAGATTTATGTCCTATGGCAATCCTAAAGAGCATTCCTTTCATGCTACCCTCCACATGCCAAGATCAGTCAACAAGGACATGTAAAAAGGTGCTCTGTGTAAATGCACCCCTATTATAAAAATAAAAAAAACTTATCCCACTAGCCATTAATAAAACATCACACTGACCAACACCAAAGCCTAAGGCTTATCATTTCCTTCCCAGAAGCATTCCTAAGACTGTTTTAATAGCGTCCTGGAAATCCTATACAGTGGTACCTTGGTTTACAAGCATAATCCATTCCGGAGGTCCGCTTGTAAACCGAAACAGGTTGTAACCCAAGGTGCGCTTTCGCCAATGGGGCCTCCCCCCCCCCAAATTGTTCGTAATCCAAAGAAAAATGGGTTGTAATCCAAAAAAAGTTTGCAAACCGGGACATGCATTTCTGGGTTTGGCGTGTTTGTAATCCAAAATGTATGCAAACCAGACTGTTTGTAAACCAAGGTACCACTTTATATACTATCTGAAAGAGCTATTGTGGGGATGACGGATGCAGTGTGGGGGCACACCCTACCTCAGCATAAGACACGCCACAGCGTGTCTAGCCACCATGCTCACTCCCTGACCTTTGCCTCCCTCACAGCAAGCTTTGCTTAACGTTTCACCTGGCTGGAGCATGATGAGTGAGGCAGACTTTCGAGTATCGGGGGACATTTGGGGAAGCACCTGGTTTGACGCGTGTATCACTCGTGCTAGAAATGTGCCCTTGCTGGAAATACGTTAAGTTCAGGGTGGTTTCACTACTGTTTCCAACTGTTGGTTTCTGCTAATAAAAAGAGGCTCTGCAAAGCTAGCCGGCAGCTTGCTTGCTCCTGCACAGCTCACATGCATTCAACTCCTGCGTCGTCCTCCGTTATTTCTACAGCTATGACATGGATTTCACTGACGAAAAAAGATGTCTTCACCACCACCACCTTATAGGCCTGAAAATCGGATCTGTAGCATACTAATTCCAATTCAATTTCAACCCTCATTCTTCCTCTATTAGCATGGGGCAGGGGCAAGAAAATCTTATGGCAAAATCTGCCAGGATGAGCAGCTTTTTAGGTTTGTCTACACATGTACTATCTGAAACCAAAGGGGCACATTGGTTGCCAGGTGTGCCCCCCCCCAGCTCTCTTTTCCCACTTCATACTTTTCAGGGCTGAATAATTTGGTGATCTAGATGTAGAAGATGAAGAATTGCAGGAAGAAGAGGAACAATTCTTACATTCCACCATTCTCAGTTGTAACAGAATAGCCACCCACAGTACTTTCTTCTTCTTCTTCTTCTTCTTCTTCTTCTTCTTCTTCTTCTTCTTCTTCTTCTTCTTCTTCCTCCTCCTCCTCCTCCTCCTCCTCCTCCTCCTCCTCCTCTTCTTTTTCCTCTTCTTCTAAAAAAGTGTTTAGGGGTACACTCATTCCATCTGAGACTCAGGAAACACTGTGACAGGAACTGACGATTCACCATCGTCAATCCTTTTCCAGTTTCGTCCGATTCCTTTCCCAGTTAGATTCACAAAATGTTTAGGGGTATGCGTTCCCCTGAGCCCCCCAGAAGAAACAACACTGGCCATCCCTCCCAACACCTCTTTTCATCCCTTTATGAAAACCCACCCATACCCAGGAGGTCTCCACATCCAGAAGGTCACCCACAAAGCAACCCCCTCAAAGAACACAAAGTGATATTTTCTGCTTATCCTGCAAGGAGGTAATGAGACAACACCTATTAATTTACTTCCACAAACTCAATCAAGGGTGGGGAACCTCAGACTCTGGGGCCAAAGGCAGCCCTCCAGGACTGTATATTTGGCCTTCAGAACTCCAAACCACATCAAATGCCACACCCTTTTGGCTCTACTTTGTACCGTGAATTAATGTTGTTGTGGTGGTTGCTTTATTTGTATCCTGCCCATCTGACTGGGTTGCCCCAGCCACTCATCCTGAGTGAGTATTCTCAAAAGTCTAAGAACAAATCTGATTGGTCACTCACTTTTCTCCCATGCCAACCTACCAACCAAGCTCAAACACAGTGTGAAAATTGCAATTTTTAAAACTTGCTTTGGCCTGGAAAAAGCTCTGCCTCCTCCCTGCCAGAACTGAGTTCATGTCCTTGGCACACTGAAGGGTGCATCATTTCTATGTGAGTTACTGGAACTAATTTTAGGCTTTCTTAAATCAAGTGTAAGGGTCAGTTAGAAAATGCCATTTATTTTATTTCAGTACAATTTCAGTTTCTCACACTTGCTTTCCTCTTCAATTTCTAATAAATTCCTTAAATTAGAAACCTGGAGCAGTGTGATGAGCCTTGACTTCAGCGACCTCCACCACACCAACTCTTCTGTTCTGGCTAATGGTATTCAGTTGCTAGAAAGGGAGCTAACTTCAAACGGTCTCATTCTCCTTTAAGATACAGACGGGTTGAAGTTCCATGTGTTCAAACTGGTAAAGTGGTGATGACACCACTCATGTGTAAATTGCACAAGGGAACTTGTCCTAGCTCACAAGGGAGGCAGAAGCTAAGCCTATTTATAACAATATTCCTTTCCAGATCTTTCCAGTGATTGGTTAAATACAACTGAAGAAAACATACATGGCACATGTTTCCCCTCCAGTTTTGATTAATTTTACTTTGCCTTCTGCTACTAACAGAATTTTTCCAGCTTATTTGGCTTACTTGTGAATTCCATAGTGGGATTTGGGAGGTATCTGTATTGCTTTAAATTCATTTAGTAAACCCCAAGAGGGTTTCAAAAGCAAAGCTTCTTAGCAAGGGATTGCCGACTTATTGATGAGAAACAGTTTGTCTCTAAGCCTCGCATCCTCTCCAGTCCAATGCAATTCTCTTCCTCAAGGAACTTCAACTTGTTTATCAGACTTACTAATAATATCCAGAAATACATTTATGGGTTAACTCTACTCCTCATCATTTAACGTAAAAGGTAAACTACATTGGTTCTCCCACTGACATAAACATATATGGAGACTCTAGATTTGTTGATTTGCTAGATGGAGTTGTTATGATGAAAGCCACTGAACACACACATTTAAAACGCAGGAACTAAACATCTTGGAAAAGCTCCAAATCCAGTTTCCAAGCATAAATTTATTCACATTTTTTAAACCCTGCCCATTCTTGAAAATGCAGAATGTATAACACCACCGCTGTAAAAATGAAATGGACGTAAAAATCTATGAACCGATTTTTCAGAGATGTAGCTAAGGGCTTATATAAAAGCAGGGGCCATGCACATTTGTTGAAAAGATAATGTTTGTGTGTGTGTGTGTGTGTGTGTGTGTGTGTTGAATGTACAATGCTCAGACAGAAACACAGCCAGCTGCTGCCACCAGCACCATATGAGGAGGGAAAGGCACATTCTGCATAATTCTGAGAAGGCTCATGTCATGAGGATTCTGGGAGTACAACACAAGTTCCAGGATAAAGCCCATCCAGGCCAGAACTACCAGGAATAAAATTACTCAGAACAGAGAGGGCATGCTGGAAAGTTTCATCATCAATAACCTGTAGATGTCAGAAATGACACCAAGCTTTAAAAGAAAAGAAAATCTAAATCATAATCAATCTCCATGCTAAATATTTACAGCATTAGCTGATAATAACCAGTATGGCATTTAGTCCAGAGGAATCTCCAATACATTGTAAGAATCAGGTGGCCACACCTCCGGTGCCCAGAATCAACCAGGGACCCTTGAATGAAGGAGCACTACACATCTGAATCAGTATGTGGGTAGAAACCTTTCACACGTCAACTAAAGCATGATCAGTAGCCAGGGATGGTGGGAGTTTTAATCCAACAACATCTGAAGGGATTGGTGGCTGGTGCCCATTAAGACTGGTAGGGCAGAAGGCAGGGAGACAAACAGTAAGTGGAGCCAGAACCATTGACAAGCTAAGGCAACTAATTCTAGTTTTGTCACCACCCTCCCTGCTATGTTCTTCAAGGGCGAGTAAGAAGGAATCCAATAGAGAGTGCCATCCCTTTGATTGGTTGCATGTAGGAAAATGGGAAGAGTGAGGTTGGTGGGGCACTGCCTGGCACCCATTAAGACTAGTAGAAACTGGTATGTGGACTACCTTTGCTCTACAGGTGAAATTCGAAAAATTAGAATATCGTGGAAAAGTTCATTTATTTCAGTAATTCAACTTAACAGGTGAAACTAATATATGAGATAGACTCATGACATGCAAAGACAGATATGCCAAGCCTTTATTTGTTATAATTGTGATGATTATGGCGTACAGCTGATGAAAACCCCAAATTAACAATCTCAGAAAATTACAATTAGGAAGAGGAGGAAAGATGAAGCCACTGAGTGAGGCATCCAGTAGAAGCAGCAGCAGCAGCTGGGAGGGAAGGGAATAGAAAAGCAGTGGTGACAGGGAAAGACAAACAAGGAATGGTGTGGGAGGGTGGGCATGTTCTGTCGGTGGGGGAAATGAGACAAATCCAAGAAAGTTCAGCCTAACTTCAGAGAGGGTTCAGCATAGCCACAAGACCCATGATTTGCCATTTTAACTTAGTCTGAGACACAGTAGCAATCTTCCCAGCAGTTGGCAGACTGAAAGCCCATCCTCTTTCACAGCTGGAGAAGAATCTGGCATCTGTGGTCTTAATGGCCAGATGGTCCCTTGTGCCTTCAGATCCATCCTTCATCTACACAGTTCTCATTCAGATGATGAGCTCTGATTCCTCCCCTAATTATCAATCATTAGAATACCAATGAAAAACAACAACAACAATGAGAGACAAATACCAGTTGAATTTACCTTGACATGTACTCTGCCTTCAGGGATTTGGGTAACTGTCTTCAAAAGAAGAGTCGAGAGAGGCAGAATAAATATTTTAAAGTGCTTTGATTTCCTTGGGCAAAAAGAACAGATCAAAGCTGTGTTCTTATTTTTTTTTTTTTTAAGTAATAACTCAGGCTTTCATTCCATTAACGTTCTAAAGGCATCAAATAAAATGCATTAGAATATGAAAAAATAAATAAAATCCAATGTCATGAGAAGAGAGTGTCATTTTAACAGACACAGTTAACACATTTTGGTAGCTCAGTTAACACATTTTGGTAGCTCAGCCAACAATGACAGGACAGTTTCTCTTCTCTCTCATTCCCCCCACATAATTACTAATTTTCCTCTGTTGTCAGGAAGGCTGCACAATGCCCTTTGAGCAATTCTTCTTAACTGAGCCAGCCACAGAATGCCTCAGGAAACCATGTAGCTCCAGCAAATTTCCCACGGTTCCATCAGATGCTAAAAGATGTATTATTCTGAGTGGAATCAAATTGGTCTCTCTAGTACTCATGCACCAGCAGGAGGCATCCAGTAATGGAGGAGGAGGGAATGCCATTTTCACTTATTTCCCCTCCCACTTACAGCCTCAAAGCATCCCTCCCCACCCCCACAGCAAAAAAATAAAAATAAAAATCAATTCAGTTTAATGAAAATGTTCCATGGCTTTTTCCTAGAAAATGATTGCATAACATCTCCCAACGGTTACATTGTATGAATTCACAACAAATATTAACTGCCTGCACTGACTTGACCTCCGATCAAGCTGTGGTGTTTGGGGAGGGGCAAAGAAGTGGCGATCTTTGCATGATGTAAGCGCACCAGCTGGAGCACTGAATTGGCTCTGCTGGTGTGTTTGCACTGCACCAACCTTGCCACCACCTTACCCCTCACCTGCACCACTGATGACCATGATGGGAGGTCAGGTAAGCAGCATCACATCACTATCCACTACTGGTTTATTGTCTAAAAGCAGGGGTGGCCAACTCTCAAGAGACTGTGATGTACTTTCAGAATTAAAAACTGGCAGTGATCTACCCCCGCCTTTTTGGAGTTCAGCTGAACGTTCTTGAGCTTTTTTGGGGGAAGGAAAGCCCCGGTTTTTGGGTTCAGCTCAAAGTTGTTGAGCTTTTCTTAGGGATGGGGAAGGCCCCATTTTTTAAGGGCTTTAAAATAAAACTTTGGGGGGGCAAGTTCTGTTTTTTGGGGGCATGGCTGGAGTCAGTTTTAGCAACGCTAAGGAAAGGGAGCCAGAGGTCAACCGTGATCTGCCAAAACCTTACAGGGATCTACCAGTAGATCACAATCGACCTGTTGGACATCCCTGTCTTATAAGTACTGATTAAAAAACCCCTAGAAAATCTTAGGAAGCTGCTGAATGAACCAGATCAGACTATGAATCTATCTAGCCGAGTATTTTCTGCTCTGACAGTAGTTCTTCACAGTCTCAGGAAGAGGTCTTTCATGTCATCTGGTACCAGATCCTTCTCAAAAACTGGATATATCAGGGTCTCAAACTGGAACTTTCTGTATGCAGAGCATATGCTTTGCCACTGAGCTGGGGTTGCTCCCCATAACATAAAACTACTGCAAAACTTCTCTTGAACTTCCTACAGATGTTTCACAAGAGCAGAAGGAATACTTCACTATGGGGTGTGTCTGTTTTAGGGAAATGTTTATGTCACTGAGCATTGCCAGGTGAATAAACCCACTTCATCTATTCTACTTATTGGTGAAACAAACAAACCCTTGCAAGTGGGTGAGACAGGGTTGAACTTCCTAAATTCTTCCTCCATCACCATCTACCACCCATGAATTGGAGAACAAACCTATGAAGCTGGAATCCTTCTGGAGCCATGGAGACCTCTCTGCAAGATTCAGAACCCAGGAGCTCAAGGTTCTAAATCACATGGAGAACAGCCATTGAGTACAAAAGACTCCTCACCGCAGATACTTGCCCTGTGATTCATGAAGAAATTGTGATGGGGGACTGCGAGTCACCCCGGCTTTCCTTATTCATGTGTCAGTTTCGAACATTAGTAGAACAGCTGAAGTGGACTATAGTGCTAAGCCAATAAAACCATTCACAAAGCTGGAGTCGACCACTGGTTCCCATACCTCACCACCAGTGGAACAAAGTTATTGCAACAAAGTCGGGAGTGAAAAATGCTTTTGGCTTGAATTCCACACATAGGCTGCTTAAAAGCCAATTAAGTCAATGAGACATAGCAACCTAAATATACACTGGGCTGCAGCCTGACACCACCCTTGGTCTTTATTAACCTCATGCAGGATCAGGTCTATATTAGTAGTAACAAGCTGGCTATCATGACTTCTGTGGCCCTGCTCTGCTGTATTCCAGGCATTCAATAGATTTATTCATAGAAACCAAGATAATATAATGGATATTTCCAAATGATGCACAGTTGTTTGCTCTGTGTTTTCTTCTCACCTCATTAACTGAGAGAATGAGAGCATCAAACATTGTTCTCTCCCATCCATTTGTGTTGATGGTACATTTGCAAATATAAATCCAGTTTTGATTGAATGGCGCATGTTAATACACTATTAGCAATCACTACACTCATACTCTAATTGGCTTCTAAATCTGAAGATCTTTGAAAGTGTTATGTTATTGAGAGGAACTTTAGTGCTTTATGCAGAAAATCGGGACTCTGTTTGAGCCAGTGTTTTACAGCACTCCATCGCAGGACCCAACTTCAATATTCGGTGTTGATTATCTGTACTCAAAGAGGGTTTCTCTATTCTGCAATTGAGCGTTCACTTAGAGGGATATAAGGCACCCAGGGCAACAGATGTGGGTGGGTAACAGGTGAATCTTTTGAGGAGTCACCCAACATTCAACAGAAATATAGCCATAGTACTCCTGTAGCCATATTTCACACATTGCATCCCCCACTCACAAAGGAGACTTGGATACAAATAGGTAGCCACTGTGGTGCCCTCCAAATACATTGCCGCTCCCATAATCCCTGAACTTCGCCATGGTAACTAAGGCTGATGGGAGTTGTAGTCCAACAACATTTGATGGACACCACATTGGCTATCCCTGATGTAGATTCTGTTAGTATCTCTGAATATTAGGGGTTGGGCCAAGCTTTCAGACCTCCTATAAAGGTAAAGGAACCCCTGATCATTAGGTCCAGTCGTGACCGACTCTGGGGTTGCGGCGCTCATCTCGCTTTATTGGCCGAGGGAGCCGGCGTACAGCTTCCGGGTCACGTGGCCAGCATGACTAAACCGCTTCTGGCGAACCAGAGCAGCACACGGAAACACTGTTTAGCTTCCCGCCGGAGCGGTACCTATTTATCTACTTGCACTTTGATGTGCTTTCGAACTGCTAGGTTGGCAGGAGCAGGGACCGAGCAACGGGAGCTCACCCCATCGCAGGGATTCGAACCGCCAACCTTCTGATCGGCAAGTACTAGGCTCTGTGGTTTAACCCACAGCACCACCTGCGTCCCTCAGACCTCCTATAGTTTGTCTCTAATTTTGGGAGGAGGTTAAGGTAAAAGTGGGGCCAAAACTCATTCCTCTCTTTTGCATTTGGGGAGGGCCTGATGAAACATACCAATTGTTGGGTCAATTGCCACCATAACTGTTCATTCCAAGGGGCATTCTGGGAGGAGGATGGTGGCCATTAATCTAGCAGAGCCGTGAGGGAGCTGTGGTGAGCCTTCCTTCCCAAATAATGCATCCTTCCCCCACTCCCCAGCCAAAATGTGCTGCTACATACATAAACTACAAACGGAGACCTGAAGAGGGTTAATCTTCACTCAGCCCTAACACTTTTGCAAAGGGAATAACAGAAAAACCACCCTCAAAGATCAGTCCGCAGCTGTCTGCTTCAGAAGTATAAGGCATGCCATTAAATTTGAATATCCTCTGTTGGGTATTAGGTGGAAGTTTTAGGGTCATTTCATACATTATATAAGAGGAAACACAGACAATTTGCTTACTTGTTTGTATTTACCTGGTCCTATATTTTATCTATCTACTTATCCAGTGCTTTTTTTCCTAAAAAAATAAAAATAATAATAGGGGTACTCTAATTTTGACTCAAGAAAATCACCATTTTATAGTTCAAACTGGGGAAAATAAATACAGTAAATGGACAAAAGTACAAAGGTTCACAAAATGTTTAGGGGTATGCGCCCCCCCCCCCCAAATCACTGTACTTATCTATCTATCTGGATTTTGATGTTGTTAGCTGCTGTCAGCATTTTTAAAGGAAAGTTAGAATATAAATATAACAAAAAAGTTACTAAATTGTGCTTCCTGATGAGTGCAACTGCAGGATACTGCCTTGTCTCGTGCATACTTTATATAATACACAACCCAGCTATTCTTCCAAGCATTCTTAAGAATGTGTATGGTGTATTTTCCTCAACACTGGCTTGCCATACTCAAATCCTGTATGTGATTACAAGCCACTCATCAGTCATCCTGTCTGGACTTGTAGCTTGCGTGGTCCTCTAATTCATCAGGCTACACTTACCAGCTGCCTCACACTTGGGGTCTGATTTGACCTCTCTCTCAAAGAGTTCTGGCACCTGATTGAAATTGCCTGCTGCTCCCACCCCCCATTCTAACCATCAGCTGCTGGCCTTTCCACCCATCATTTTTTCCAGTGGGATCCCTTGCAACCCTGTAGCTTTGGGCCTTCTGTTATTCCATCTTCCATCTGAGAGCATATGGGCTCCCAGAAAGGGACAGGCTCTTTCATTTGCTAGTGTACCACAGGTATCAGTCTTGCCGCATCCACAGCAAAGGTCAGCCATAATTCCCCCTTATCAATCAAAATCCCCTCTGTCTGCTTTGCAGCAATACTGAAGACAGGAGGCACCACCTCAAAAAACATGCCATAGATTGCATCTTTGAATGTGTCCCTATGTTGAAATCTCTTTTCACATGCAATGCTAGCGTATCCTGGGGGAAACATCATTGTCTCCAGATAAACCACAAGCTACAGCCAAGGTTTGTCTTATGGCTTTGTACTATTTGGAGGAGACAAATCATGAGCCCAGGTTAGGCCATCATGTTGTGCCATCATGCAGCAGCAGGAGGACCAAAGGAAGGTTGTGACCTCCTCTCTTGCAAGCCCATATGCTTATGTGTCCATACTAAATCATGGCTTGCCTTAGCGTTACATGGAAACTGGGCTTATGTCTGGACACTTTATGGAGATTTGAATGGTCTCAGTCATGCTGACCAGACTACAAAGGCTAGCACCCAGCCAACAAGCTGTTAAACTGTACACAGTGATTATTTCCATAGCAGAGATAGGTTGCTTCAGAACTGTGGCACCCAAAGCAATCGCCTGGGTTGGCTCTGTAGCTGAGCTAGCTTTTGGCGCGCGCACACACACACCCACACACACACACACCTTCTGTTGAAATTATTTACCATTATTACTGAGATCCATGCCTATGCATGCACACATAGTAAGGAATACAGTAAGGAACCAACAGGGAAACATGAAAAAGGGTCCCATGGAAGCCCATGCCAATCCCCTCCTGCGCTACATCTGTGGGGCAGCAGGTGGTGGTAGGGAGAAGAGATGGCTTCTATGCAGATGATACATGCTTCTTTTCTATCTACTTTTCAGCCAGTGTATGACATTTGCAGTCAATTAATTTCCCCCATCTACTGCTAAGTGTTTATCTTGGCAAATACGATATCATCAGTTATGCAAAAGAGCGACACAATGGATGCATTGGACTCTATACAGAATGGGGAAGAATACTGGTGCACAATGTCATAAAAAATATTGAAAGTATTTGCATAAAATGAAAGCAGGGGAAACCCTCCACCTCTTCTGTATTTGTAATATTTTTTTGAAAAAAATGGGGGAGGAGGAAAAGGAGAACAAGCATACTAATAGAAATGAGATACCAGATTGTAGTGACCACAGGTTATCCTTTGTGCAGTGAGCACATTAAGACAAGGACAAGCATTCCTGCTCATAGATACATTTCTTTTCTCTCTCTCTTCTACCAAGGAAGCATATATGGAAGTAGGAACCAAATAATGATAAAAATAATTGAAAGGATCTCCTGCATTTACAAATCGCCTTGCCAGAGAGGAAAGGATGCTGCTGCAGTAGATTGGCTAGCAGGTGGCAAACCAGCATGAGCACAGATTTTAAATCACATGTGTTTCATTTTGGGGTTTCAGTCTGAATTGTAGCTTTAATACTACAGAGGCTGAGCAAGCGATGAAGCTGCCAGGCCTTAGAGACCAAGGCAGCCAGTACTGGTTATTACATTATTACAAGACAGCAGGATGAAACTGATGGATATGACTATGCAGTTTTTAGGGAAATTAAGCTGGTTAATTTGCGACTTCTAGAGGCCGGAAAGTTGTTTCAGAAGTCTGAAAGTTGATGTATGTGTCTTTTTATTATTATTGCTTCATGGCGGGGTACACTGGTGCATTGAGGAGCAGGGGGAAGAGTGATGTGTACCTTAAAAAATAAAACTGCACATCTGTCACTCATAGAAACAGAAGAGTGAATCAATGGGCTCATCTCCTCACTGGCAGAAGATCCATTCTGGATTCTTTCCCTGCCCTATATGAACCTAGGGATCCTAACTAAAATGTTTGTGTGGGCAAAGCACATGTGCTGTACTACCAAAATACATCCCTTGTCTATGTCTACCTGAGTGACTATCACTATCTGACTCTCTCCTCTACCTGGGACACGCAAATTCCCAAAATCGGATCCACAGGTGACTCTCGGTCATTTCTCTATGGCAGTCTATCTTAAAGTTTTTATGTGTTTATATGCCCACCACATTTTTAAACTTAAATTCCATTGTTGTACAGTGGTACCTTGGGTTACAGATGCTTTAGGTTACAGACTCTGCTAACCCAGAAATAGTACCTCAGGTTAAGAACTTTGCTTCAGGATGAGAAGAGAAATCGTGCAGCAGCGGCGCAGCAGCAGCGGGAGGTCCCATTAGCCAAAGTGGTGCTTCAGTTTAAGAACAGTTACAGGTTAAAAATGGACCTCCAGAACGAGTTAAGTTCTTAACCCGAGGTACCACTGTATATTGTTTTAAATGTTTGTTTTGCTTTTGGGATTGTAGTTCCATTTGTGTTTCACAATCTGGTCTCTGACCGTAACAATAAATTTCATTTCACACCCTGTGCAACCTCACCCTCTTTCCCCTGGCCACACCGGTCATCATGAAGCCTTGCTTCACATCCTCACTGAATGCTTTTGCCTGGATGGAAGTGTCATTGAGCTGGGATAATGAATCTCGCTTGCCTGGATTATCCATGAGTGAATGTGACTCCTGACAGATGTTCTCCAACCCTTCTCTATGTACTACAGTCAGGGCAGAGATTGCTTTGGAAGCATGTGTCCCTCTCTCCCCCTTGCTTCATCAGCAGTGGGGAAGTTCTATTTGTCCTCCTGCTCCCTACAGCTAACGAACCTTACTTTTCCCAGGGATGTCCCACAAAGAGAGCTCTTACTCCATCAGGAATCCTGGCAGACCGCAATATTCAAGTTATCCCATGGATTGTTGGTGATAGTTGACCCACTTGCCTCCATACAACTCCCAGAAGGCAAGGGCAGTGGAAAGACATCTTCAGCCCTGGCTAAAATTATCCTTCAACTTGACATGCTTCAGAACTTGGGACTAATGACATTTATCCTTGTCACTTTTACAAGCAGGCAATTATCCGTGCGGAAAGCAGAGCAGGACATCAGGGTAAGGTCTGGTGGCAACATTGTTCTTTCAAGTCCGTGTCCTTAATTTCACTGGCTGCCCAATGGTCAGTCTGGATTAAAAGTTTCCTGAATAAAGGAAGGCTGTTTGCTTCTTAATGTAGCACTAATGCTGCAGTCACTTCAGCCTTCATCGGTACTTGCCCAAGTCCGTTTCCTGCCTAAAGCGGAGCTTAATGGCTCCCTCTGCCTGATACAGCCAATGCTTTAAGAAGTCTTCTTTCTAGGGCCAACCTAAATCATTTGGCTCCCTAAAGTGAAGAAGAACATGGCTCCTCTCCCCATAACCACCACATTCCATATACAGAAACCAGCTGGATGAGAAGTTGGGTTCCACTTGGACTCTGGCAATAGGACAGCTTCTTCCACTGCAGGAAGTGGTTCACTCCACCTACCTGAAGGGCTGGCCTTTTCTATTCTGCCTCCAGAAGCAAGTCACCACTACATGGTTCATGAAGCTACCCGAAGATACCTCTCTTTCATTTCTTCACCTTTTCTCTAGTGCAGACAGTTAAAACATGCTCATGATTTTCAAGCCTAGCTCAGACGGGACCCCTCATAATTCTACTTCCTCCTCATACACATTTTTCCATTCGAGTTTGATCAGGAAAGACTAGCTGTCACCCTCCAGCAGGTATAAAGTACATTTTTTTAAGCCTGGGGGCCACATTCTCTTCTGGTCAACATTCCAGGGGCCACATGCTAGTGGTGGGCAAAACCAGAAGTGAACATGGGCAGAACAACAAATGTAAATTTCCCCCTTGTTTCTACAGACACCTACAACCTGTCTTTTCTCCACTGGGACAAGCAAGAGGCATTATCAGGGTATAGGGCACATTTCAAAGAGGTCAAAAACACTCAAGGGAGGTGAAAAACAAGTCCAGTAGGAATCATGGGGAAGGTATGTCCCCTGGGGAGAGCCCTGAGGGTCATATAGAGAGGCCTGGAGGGATGTTTTTGGTTCATGGGTTTGATGTTCCCATGGACTGCAAGAAGATCAAACCTATCCATTCTTAAGGAAATCAGCCCTGAGCGCTCACTGGAAGGACAGATCCTGAAGCTGAGACTCCAATACTTTGGCCATCTCATGAGAAGAGAAGACTCCCTGGAAAAGACCCTGATGCTGGGAAAGATTGAGGGCACAAGGAGAAGGGGACGACAGAGGATGAGATGGTTGGATAGTGTTCTCGAAGCTACCAGCATGAGTTTGACTAAACTGGGGGAGGCAGTGGAAGACAGAAGTGCCTGGCGTGCTCTGGTCCATGGGGTCACAAAGAGTCAGACACGACTAAACGACTAAACAACAACAACAACATCCCTGTCCTACAGGCTGGGTTTAGGCTGCAAAGCAATGCCATCCCCTGCCTCTCCAATGGCAGTGCTTTATTCTGTCTGAATTTTTTTTTTTTTACTGGTTTAAAAATAAATTTAAACAAATATTACCTAGCATAACCGCTCCACTGAGATTATTGAGTGGTTGATATAACAAGGTCTTGAATTGTGTTATATGTTTCTTGTTTATATTTTCATTGTCCACAGTTGCCCAAGCGCTGGTTTTGAGTTTTGAGTACTGTAGTTTCCCCCCCTCTTCAGTCTATTACATGGATAGCCAACATGGTGCCCTTCAGATGATGTCAGATTACAAATCCCTTCATCTCTGACCATTGGCCATGGTGGCTGACGCTGATGGGAGTTGTAGTCCAAGAATCTGCGAAGAGTCCCAAACTGGCTATTCCTGTTCTACTACATTCACAACCTCGTTCTTAACTTTTAAAATCCAGGGACTTCCATATTTCTGCTTTGACAAAACAAGGTAGAGGTCTTATCTTCATTAAGAACACATGGTAATGACAGACATATTTGCAGAACTGGCCCAGATCATATACACTAGTATTGATCCTATTCTCTTATGTGGCAAAAACGACCTGTGAAAATTACATGCACATTTTATCACTCTCTCTGTTGATAATGTTCAGGATATGAATGCCACTTTGCCACCCACACAAAAGTGAGAAGTATTCGCCCAGTCAGGAAACCCCAAAGTTTGCAAAATACAAAATCTATCCATTAAAAAAGCAGACTGTACCCCCACAAATAGAGCCTACTGAAAACTGAGCATTCTAAGTTTGAACTATGAGTGGAGGCGGTACTCCATGCCGCAATCTTTTTGCTCTTGTTTATCTTCTTTAGTTACTCATGCTGCAGTAAGTCAGAGGCTCCAAAATGTGCAAATTCATAAGGATTTGCTTCATTTTTAAAAAATGCCAGCTGACTTTTGGTTCATCAGCTCCCCCTCCCCTAGCAATCTTCTGTGTGGTCCCAGATCGTTCTTCATAAAGTTCTTCACTACCTGGAGTGCCATTTTCCTACACAGACTTCCAGCTGAGAGATAAATGAACACAACTGGCCTGCTGATCCACAGGATGGTATCATGCTAGGACTTTTTCCTTCCCCCCAGCTGTTGCTTTAAAGGTCACATCCAGGAAATACCTTTCCCACCGCAGACTTTCTGTACTCATTTTCAGCGAAGATCTTGAACTGTCCTCTCCTCTGCAACTTTCGGCAACTTCATTACTAGCCTTGGAATTTATGAGGAATCATTTAATCCAGAACAGTGCTTGAGGGTGTAGCATGCAGGCATTGAGGGAGGTGAAGTCATAAGTTCAATGCAGCCTCCAGCTTTGCCGCTCTTTGGTTTGTTGGACTTCAAATTATTGGAATGGGAATAATAAGAGAAAGAATTAAGATTCAGTCTTGATAATTTAAATTAGATAGAATAGGGGAACGCTGGTGAATAATATAATTTGCAAATATCAAGAAAGAAATGGATAAAAGAATTATATTTAATTTACAGCAATGTTTAGGGCAGGGGTGTGAAACCACAGGCTCTCCAATATCCAGAGCTTATGGTCAGAGGTTCTCTTTAGAAATGGCTGGTCTGGATAGGGTTAAGCCCTCAGTGCTCCCACTGACAGTTCATTTTTTCAGCTCTGAAAGACTGCTAATCACTGTGGTTCAAATTAGAAATGTGAAGGGCATTCAGTGTTTAAAGCAATCAGGCCATCTCTACGGCTTGCCCATTTAAAATTAAAATAAGGATGCTTACTAGGGAAACGGCACCGAAGATTTGGCACATTACATTCAATCATGCTCTGCAAAATAAGAGAAGAAAAATAAGGAGGAGGGTGGAAGCCACACAGGTCTATGCTCCTGAATAATGGTGTACACGAGTTTTGATTTTGCCTCCCGCAACTTCCCCTATTCAATGTGTGGATTGATGATAACAAAATAAAAACCACAAATTAGATATGCATCCTGCTCACTAGGAACCACATGGAAACCAATGCAAGTTTAAATTATATACCTAAGACATGTGAGAGAGAAGTTAGACCAGCTTCTTTTCTTATATTTCCACCTTCTTATTCCAAGAGGCTTTTGGGGAACTGACTGCTTTTAATGAAGTGGCTGGTTCTGTCCTGCTTTTATTGTGATTTTTAAATTTATCTGTATGTTTTCAATACATCTATATGTTTCTAATCACCCAGAACCCATGTCAGAGAAAAAGATGGGGTATAAATAAATTAACCACCACAACAGAAAACCCACAGAAGCTGATCTGATCCATGCTCTGATAGGAGACCACCCAGGGTCCCTACATAACCACCTTGAGAAAGGCAGGGTATAAGTGTTATAGACAAATGAAAAATGAGTTTCCATTCTCCTGGAGTTGTTTTGAATGGTTCCTAAACAAAATGGATTGATCTATATGGTGTGCAAAGATAACAGCCCCCTTTTGAAGACCCTGCAGCATGGAGGACTTTTCCAATCTCATTCAGTTGGACACGCTTAAAACCCCTCTTCAGAAATTAGTGCTAACAGTAGAAAGGGTCCAAATGGCAAGCTGAGGTTGGGGTTTGCATGCTTGCCCCTGACCACTCCTGGGGATGCAGGGAGCAACTGTTCTAAGGGATTTGCTACCCTGCCTGTCACTCTATTTATAATGATCTTGTCTGTGCTGATGCTGATTGGAATCTATTGTACCTTGGTTCTCGAACTTAATCCGTTCCGGTTGTCTGTTTGACTCCCAAAACAGTTTGGAAACAAAGGGTCAGCTTCTGATTGGCTGCAGGAGCTTCCTGCACTCAATCGGAAGCTGTGGAAGCCACGCCGGACGTTTGATTTGTTTGGGAGCCAAGCCATTCGAGAACCAAGGTACCACTCGAATGGACGTTGCCAGGCAGAGGAAGGACCTGAAATGAAATGCCTTTTATTTTCAACAGCCCCAACCCCAGCCCCAGCCAAGAATTTACATGGACACTCCAAGGTCTCAACTCTGGAGAAATCGAGGGCAAGGAAGCATCCACAAGCCCCAAGCCCATCCTCCACCTGCCCCTTGACGTCTTTTTGTGATTAGTGCAGAAATCTGAAGAGGGTTTCCAAACATATTCAGCTGAATGTGCCCAGAAACCTCTGCACAAACAGGAAGCCTAGTTCATCAGGGTTCCCAACTGTAGTGAGCTTTTATAAGCATGTTCAACTGAATACAATAAAAATCTCCTCCTCAGACTTTTCTGCCAATTGTACAGAGGTCTGATTCCCACACATCTGGGAATACTAGGAGCTCATGCATGCCCATGGGTGTCCATAGTTTAATCCTTCTTGCATTCAAGAGAATGCCTGGAGATTAATAATAATAATAATAATAATAATAATAATAATAATAATAACTATTACATATATTTCCATGCCTTCTACACTGTCTCATGCAAGCTCACAGCTACTGACTTGGCTCACCCACCAATTCACTCATCAGCTGACAATCTCTGCGAGTGTTTCAAAGCTGTTGCACTTCTTCTGCCACAATGATTTGTTTTAAATCCTTTCACTTGGTGCTGTGCCCTTAACAATCACACCCATTCTCGGGTGTTAGCAACCTGTTATTTGCCTGGCAGATTATCCCGCCCTTTTACAGCACTTTTCACACTCCTGGCAGTAGAAAAAACAATAATCTGGATGTGCGTGCTTCCGGAAAGGAAAAGAAAATATCAATGTGAGTGCTTTAAGAGAGAGAGAGAGAGTTGGAGGCAAGAATCTGTTCCATCTCGCTCCCTACTTCCCCTTCTCTCTGAGAGAATGGAACAAGAAAACCAAACATGCCATATCCCTTTGACATTAAGAGGCTTCAGGCTTGCTTTTCACAAGTGGTCAGTGTAATTCCTGTGAATGTATAATTTATTGATGTCTGCAGAGTGCTTTGGGTTTCTCTGGGAGGGAAGGTGCTATATGAATGTAGATGTTACGGTTCTCTTAGGAGAGAAATTGCATTAAGAAGCAATTGGACTCCCTTAAGCCATGGCATTCCAAGCCATCAGCCATCTCCGGGAACCTAACGAGTCATTTTAGAATTGTTTTGGAATGGAATGATTATTCAAATAAGAAATAGGTTAACCAAAACTTCCATAACACCAACCAATCAATTGCTTGGATGATCAAATAAAGACCAGAGACCCAATTAACCATTAACTCTTTGTAGGACACATTTTTAAAGCCCTGTAATGATTTCAGTAGTACTGATTCTGAGGATGAAAGCAATCAGAGTTTCCAATATCTACAGTCTGCCTATGGAACCCAAGAGCTATGTTCTACATGCACTGCCAGTATGCTACCAGGCCAGGATCAAAGTCATGAACAACTTGGGTTTAAAATACCGTAAGGACTGCTGGAACCCTTATATTCCAGCTTGACCACAAAGGCCATCCAGAGTAACACTGTTGGCTGTCCCCCATGTCTCAAAACTTCAAGTGGAGTCAAGTAGAAATCATGTATTTAGTGTGACTGGTGGAATCCTTTTCCAGTTGAGATTCAACAGTCATTCTCACATCTCTTGAAGGCTTTTTAATGCCAACAGAATGATCTAGTGTTTTCATTTCCTTTTTAGATGCACCAGTCATTTTTGTGATCATTTTGGTATTATTTTACATTATTTTATGTTTTATTGTATTTGCATACATTGTGTGCAGTGCATCAATATTTTATTTTATTTAAACACTTCTATAAGTAAACAGCATCTTAAAAAGTAGAGACATCACCTTGCCAACAAAGGTCCGTATAGTTAAAGCTATGGTTTTCCCAGTAGTGATGTATGGAAGTGAGAGCTGGACCATAAAGAAGGCTGATCGCCAAAGAATAGATGCTTTTGAGATCGCCAAAGAATAGATGGTGCTGGAGGAGACTCTTGAGAGTCCCATGGACTGCAAGAAGATCAAACCTATCCATTCTGAAGGAAATCAGCCCTGAGTGCTCGCTGGAAGGACAGATCGTGAAGTTTAGGCTCCAATACTTTGGCTACCTCATGAGAAGAGAAGACTCCCTAGAAAAGACCCTGATGTTGGGAAAGATTGAGGGCACAAGGAGAAGGTGACGACAGAGGATGAGATGGTTGGACAGTGTTCTCAAAGCTACCAGCATGAGTTTGACCAAACTGCGGGAGGCAGTGGAAGACAGGAGTGCCTGGCATGCTCTGGTCCATGGGATCACGAAGAGTCGGACACGACTAAATGACTAAACAACAACAACAATAAGTAAACAGCCATGGGTTTCAATCCCTCTGTCAGATCCTGTCCCAAAATAGTTAGGGAACATATTGCATGCAAAACCTAGTCCATTCCAAAGTTAGTGGTACATATATAAACGGTTTCCTTCAATTCACAAAACCTCTACAGTTGAGGAATATTCATGGTGTCAATCACATACACTCCATCTCAAAAATAAAATTAAGTCCTCGTATAAATTCATATTCCTCTTCATGCACATTTTCCCTATTGCACACATTTCTGTACATAATTTTTGCCTAATATATGGATTTTTTTGCAAGCAATTCCCCATAGTACAATGGCTGCTTGTACACTCTTCTCATTCATGCCCACATTTTTACATGTGATTCATGTAGAAAAGCATTACAAAATTCAGAGAAATTTGAATTTTGAAGGCTGGCTGCATTGTGGTTAATCTATTGATTCACAGTGTGCAAATGCCATCACTTCACATGAAAATGAATTTTCCCCATCCCTATCCAAGATGCAGTTCTTAGTTGTTAGCACAAACTTTTACACTTTTTTTTTATTATTAAGTGAAAAAAAGAAAAAGAAAAAGAAAAAACCTTGTGGAAGTGGTAGTCATATAGGAAAAGGTCAGGAGGGTTGAACAGAACAGAAAGTAACTGATCTGCAGAGAGAAGGAGGATTGGGAAAGCTCACTGGATACGAGCCAAATTCTACCTTCTTAGCAGAGCAACAATGTCTCTCACCTTTCAAGTTTCTGAAACTACCCCTGCGTGTAGGGAAGGAAGAAAAAAGAGATTGGTAGGGTCAGAAGCAAAGATTTGAGGCTGCAAAAGAAAAGCCACAATGCGAAGTTTAAAAGCTATGATCTGTTAGCTCGAGACAGCGGGAAACTTGTTGGGTGCGCAATCTTGGATGAAAGCAGCTGCGAAGGTCACAGCTTGTAACCCAATTTAATAGCTAGATGAGGGGGATCATACAATTGACCTTGCCTTTTGAAGCATGGGGAGGAAACATCGGAGCTAAAAATATTGCTCTGTGAAGTCAGGTTACTGGCGTTAGTGCTCAAATTGTCAAGTGTGGCTGCACACAGGTAGGCTTTTGAATGAGGTTAAACAGGCATGTCCGTCTTTTCCTAATGTTGCTTTAAGCTACACCACTGGCTACCCATTTCCCCCCTTTTATTAAGCTCAAATATTTTACAAAAGAGGATTAACACCAAACAGTGCTTCATCTGTGATTTAGACACATCACATTCTATATTGATTGACAAAGTGGGATGTCTTCAAGAGGACATTCCAGGGGCAGGGCAGATTATGTTCTCCCTCTCAAACTATCTTGGGCTGCAGGCTGTGCATATCCACATGCGAGTGGTGCTGTGGTCTAAATCACCGAGCCTCTTGGGCTTGCCGATCAGAAGGTCGGCGGTTTGAATCCCCGCGATGGGGTGAGCTCCCGTTGCTCTGTCCCAGCTCCTGCCAACCTAGCAGTTCAAAAGCACACCAGTGCAAGTAGATAAATAGGTACTGATCTGGCGGGAAGGTAAATGGCGTTTCCATGCACTCTGGCTTCTGTCACAGTGTTCCGTTGTG